GTTTTCCGAAAACTAACTGGATAGTTCGAAAATCATTTCCGCCGTTAAAGCGTCTCTTGTTCCGAAAAAGATACACGCCTGTCAACATTCATCGTTCAACAAAAAAAGTATTAGATACAAAACGCTTCGTATTGTAAGGCCAAAATATATTTGGAAATCAAAAAAGTCATATAAACAAAAAAATCATTATAGTGAGATAACTACCAAATTAATGATTTACAAGTTTATTCTTATTATCTATAAAATAGGTTTGCAATGTGCTGATGTGGAATGTTATCATCGACTAAAAACTTTAAATCTTTGTATTAAATTGATCGAAAACAATCCATAAATTGGTTTAGACTATACAGAATGTTTCTAATAAGCAGCGACTAACTTTTATTATGAAAACGAAAGATCCTTTTAAAAGGGTTTAAAATTAAAATAAAATATGTACCAAGTACCAAGTAAATGTAGTAATATTTTTTAATTTTGAATCTTGAGAGATGCAGACATATTTGGATACTTTATACTGAAAATGGTAACATGAAAGGTTTTTTGTCTAATTGTAAGTAACGACTCACAGTCTTGGCTGAAAAAATATAAAAAAATATCGAACATAATATTCCTGGGCGAAACGCACCTGCCCCCTATTTTGCACTACTCAAATTAAATTTACTTGTAGCAAATGATACTAAATCAAATAAGATGTCAAATCACAAGCAAAATCTCGTGACTGCAGCACTAATGATTTCTGTAAATTAACCAATTCATTTTTCATGCCATATTTTTCTTTCAAAAACATATTTATCCTACTTGAATTTTTTTCATCGTTTTTTATATAGAAGCATCTCTACAAAAAATGTATGAATAAAACATGGTTTGAACTATTTGTTCGATCAATAAAAAACTTGCACCGGTCCTGTTCGAGCCAGCACCGTTATACGCATGAGCTCCGACACACTATTTTCTCCTTAGGGTTTCAGTTTTGATATATGGAATCGGCTTTCTATACTATTTCTATGGGTCTGAGGAGTACCGAAAAAAAAAAAATAAAAAATAATTCATTTGCCTACTAAATTATTCATAAAATGGTTGTAGCTCTGCTAACCAAATTTGTTTATAAATTTTAATTTGTGCATACATTTTCTAAATTTTCATATTTTAAAACTCCTAGATTACTTAATTTCTACATTCCTGAATTTCTAATTTTCTAAATGTTTAAAATATTTTAATTCTAAATTCCTGAATTCCTAAGTTATTAAATTAAATTACTGACTTCCTAAATTAAAAACTGCTGTGTATTGTATTTCGATACATCAATTTAATTTTTTTTTTTTTTTCGAGTATGCTTGTTATGAATAATTTTGTTATAAAGGTATGGTGGACCTACAGGGTTAATGCATGAAGTTTTCTGCGCTTTCGCATATTTAACCACTTAGCTAATTTTTATATTCCATAAATGAGCCTTAGGCAAGAATTTTGAAGTATTTGTATTCTATTGGAATCATATACAGAGAGACAGGGCCCGCCCGTACAAGTAATCCCAGTAATTAGCATTACTCAGAACCAGAAAATCACATAGTTGAATTTTTAATTCTTTGTTAAACAAACGTCTACTTTGATACAATGTTTTTAGCTTATAATAGGATTTTTGTAAAATAAATAAAGTATGATCGGATAACTTTAGTTTATTATCAAATATTATGCCAAGATTTTTTGCTTTTTCTGTTATGGGTAAAGATACGTTATTTATGTTCACAGAAATGTTATTAGATGGACTGAAACCAAAACATATGACAGATGACTTGTTTGTGGTGATTACTAAGTTGTATTTCGGTCTAAAATTCTATTAGAGTATTTTAATCATTATTTCCTGTAGCGATAAAATGTCATTATTTTTATGAAAGAATCTATACAGCTGGGTATCGTCAGCATACATGTGCACTTTGAAGTGTAATATTCCTGAAAAATTAAGTCACCTACAGAGTAAAGTATCTTTTTACAAGAGCACAATCTGTTGAAAAAATAAACACGAACGTATGGAGACCACCCCTAACCTTTATCGTTATTCGACATTATCTTTGTTGAGTTGCATTATCATTTTTTGATTGACATTGTATATTTTTTACTGATGTCACTTTTTGAATAATAAAACCTTTTAATTCAAGTTGCAGACCATTATTCATTCAGTCCCCTACCATGTATAATCTTCTACAGAATCAATTGTCGCTCCTACATTAAAAGCAACATAATTTGCACCGTTAAAGGTTTTTAGACGAATATATTAAGTTTTTCTTTAAAGGTACAAATTAATACCAATTCAGTCCTTTTCAATTCTACCATTATTTTATTTTTTGATTTTATTTTGTGGTCCTGCTAGTTTAATATTAAGCTAGCAGCACGTTTTTTATGAAAACGGCACATGGTACAAATTTTTTATTGGTAGTACAAACTCCAGTTACATATGAAAAAAATGGTACATATTTAGTTTTTTCATAGTTTAAAGTTAATGTATTTATTGATTAAATTCTTAAAGTCACCTGTTTAAATTTGAGGTACCCTCCAAAAGTCAACTTGGTAAACTATTACAATATCACTTGCAAAAATTAAAATATGTCCAGTCAATGGTTGCATCATTAGAATATTATATATCGCCGGTACCCAAGAGAAGGTGACAGTCCAAACTTTTAATTTTTTCAGTTTGTAATGCCCATGTATCTTAAATTCAGTATTATTTACCAGAAAAAATGAACAACTCGAAAAATGCTACAAAAATTATTATGATTTAAAATTCCATAATGATCAAATAATTGATTTGATTTTATAATAATAAGCAAATCATTAAAATACTAATAACTCAAAATTACTATCGGTGCACTTTGTCATCTTCTCTTGTATACCGACGATACCTATATTGTGAAAAGAATTGGTCCAAGTACCGTACCCTGAGGAACCCCAAATCTTACTTCCTTAGAACTGCTTAACGTACCGTTAATGCTTTAAACTTGTTCAATAGCATTCTCAAGAATTTTAGTAAAAATATATTTCAATGAAATGGGCCGATAACTCGACCTTTTCAATATCTTCTTTTTTATACAGTGAGCACCATAAGTCTTACTAACTCGTTACTGGAGTCTTGTTAGGAAAATCGCCGAGACACATCGATTTTTGATTTCTACAATGTACGTTTTTGTATGAATAGTTTACCCTTAATTTCATTCCTTACTGGAGGGGAGCAACCCTTTCGAAAAATTTAAATGACATGGGGTGGTGAGTGATAGCTCATTTGAAAGGGGGTTTTATTCTCTATTCAACCGTGCAAAAAATTTTAAAATTTGCTTCATTACGTGTTGATTTATTAATGTTTAAAAATAATAAAATATCGAAAATAGGAAAGCAACTTAACCAACAGTGACCTTATCTAATGGCAAAAAGTCTTACTTCACGTCTGAATCAAAACAGATAACATGCAGGGCCTAATTTTAATTCTAAGGATGAGTGCGCTACGTTAATTTCCGTTATTCTGAAACAATAATTAGTCGAGAATTAATGAAGCAAATTTCAAAATATTTTGCACGGTTGAATAGAGAATAAAACCCCCTTTCAAATGAGCTATCACTCACCACCCCATGTCATTTAAATTTTTCGAAAGGGTTGTTCCCCTCCAGTAAGGGAGGAAATTAAGCGTAAACTATTCATACAAAAATGTACATTGTAGAAATCAAAAATCGACGTGTCTCGGCGATTTTCCTAATAAGACTCCAGTAACGAGTTAAATAGGGGGGGTAAGACTTATGATGCTCACTGTATATCGGTTTTATTAATCCTAATTTAAATAAACCATTTTCAAATATTTCGTTTATTAATAAAATCAACGAAGTTACTATTACATTGCAAATATTCACCCCTGACTATTTATTTGATTTTAAATATTTCATTAAATTTGTAACTTCTTCATTAGCTGGACGTACAAAAATACTGTTTTATGTCATTCAGTATAATTTGATGAAATCCGATTTTATAAAATCCTATCTATACCACTCGTTTAATTATTTTTTTCAACTGACCCCCGTACTTTAGCAGGTGTTTCCAACGGAAAGGGTTACGCCGCATTTGAACACCCTGTATGTTTGGTTAAATTTTAGGTCAATGAATTGCAACACATTCGAATTCTAATCACGCCATTATATACTTTTTTAAGTTACGAATTTTCCACTTACATACGTTTTTTAAAACTAGTTTGAATGCATTTTAATGTCTTTTTTATCTACTAGTATATTATACCTAATGTTTCGTTTTGGTATAATTTCTTTCTAAACGTGACAAACCTTATTTTGTATCTATTAGTACTTACATAAATAACCTTTATTTTTCGAGGAAACTTTTAACAGGTACTTAAACATTGATAAAGTGTTTTCGTGGAAAAATATATTCAAAACCCTATAAAACGTTTAACCTCAGTGTGAAATATAATAATACCATTTTATTTTCAATAATATATCTTGTAGTATGGGACAAAGGGCGGAAAATTCATCTTGGGCCGCACTTGGTATGGGGTCTGGAATTATACACATTTGGGTTAAAACGGCATGTATCTTTTAAAAATGTTTTTGTACTTTTGTATCTTTCTGAAAACAAAAGTTTTTACTACCTGAGATAGACCATTATATGCATGTCTAAACTCAGAATGTCTAAACATAGAATGTATAAACCTAGAATGTCTAAACCTAGAATGTCTAAACCTAGAATGTCTAAACCTAGAATGTCTAAACCTAGAATGTCTAAACCTAGAATGTCTAAACCTAGAATGTCTAAACCTAGAATGTCTAAACCTAGAATGTCTAAACCTAGAATGTCTAAACCTAGAATGTCTAAACCTATAATGTCTAAACCTAGAATGTTTAGGTCTAGAATATCTATATTTAGAATGTCTTAACCTATAATGGCTAAACCTAGAAGGTCTAATCCTCGTCTAAATCTACTGGCCAAAAACAGTTCACAGTCCACAAACCTCTTACCTGTCAATATTTCCAAATTTTCCCCCATCTGGAAGCTGATCGTCACCCCGGGATACACATGAAACAACACCACGTACTGATTCCCTTGGCCTTGGCTGGGCCCCGGAAATTGTTGCTGCGGTTCGAACCCCGGCCCGAAATAGAACTTCGCGGGGGACGTCGCCCCATTCGCGGCCCCTTCGCCGGTTTCGGGGCTATACGAACACGGATGGTAGTGGGTGGTGAAGTGCTGGAAGGGGGGATGATGGTGGTGGTGGGGATGAGGACGAGGTTTGCGAGGGAAGTAATTCGTCGGGGGGGCTTGGTTGTTGTTGCTGTTATTATTGGAGGATGCGGATGAGGTGTGTGGGCCCGGCACAGAATTGGATTCTGCCATTTGAGGCTCGTCTTTTACTTTCACCATAGGGGTTGGTTTGGCGCAAATTTACCTCGGTACCTGCAAGAAAAAATAATAAAATGAAGAATGTTGTTTACTTTATACACCAACATATGCATATAGTTTAAAATTTTTGCCTAGTTATATAATATGTTATAAGAACGGTGTTTCAAAACAAATATATTTTTGAAACATATCGAGAGACGGTGTTGTGCTTGGTAAGCAGGTGTTCATTGTGGGCATCTCTAAATAAACGTCTACGTGATAATAGTCGCGTTCACCGAGTTGCATCAGCGCGATACTTCTCAAGGTCAACGATTTACTGGCACGTACATATGTATATCTTTCTTTGAACGGCACAAAACATCAGATCAGTTTGTACTTTGCTAGAAATCAGACGGGTTTCACTAGAAACACGATGACAGTTTTTCTTTTATATATTACATAGTTCTCTGAGCAAAGATAATCAAATAATAATAAATAAAATAACAAAATGTGAACCCTAAGGCAATGTTAAGCCTTTAGGTATTTTTAAATAAAAGTGTAGTATACATATGTAAAATTTAAAAGTTGTGCAACGTTTTGCACAATAAATAGTTTTTAAGAAGTTGCTGGAATTTCATTATCCATATAAAAATATTTGCAGCTAGCATCGAAAGGAGAAAGTCCACTTAGTAAGCGAACCTTAGGGCCATATTCATAATTTGGGTTGGGTTCAACTTTTAGTAATCTGCAAATCCGACAGACGGTAAAACAAAAACTAATAATAACCAGGGTGTTTGCAGTGGGTAGACAGCACTTGTCCACACCGCACTGGAGTCCAACACGCGATAGACACAATGGATTTCCACCCTACCCAAAGAAGATTACTAAATACTGCGTATTATTACAAGTGTTATCAGTTATCACAAACATTTTAAATTGCAAGGAAATCCAGATTTATAACCAGGTAAATCCCGTTTTTAGCTAGGACCTCGCTGAATCTAAAAACTTGTTAGAGGGAACGCTCAGCTACACTGCACTTTAGGTATCTTCAAGGGGACATTAAAGGTATTGCCTCATAGCTCGTCAAACATCTGGCGTTTCCAAAGCGGTTGATAACGTAACTCTAGAATCCCCTATTATTTTAACCCCCTCTTACGACAGGCAGAAAACAGGCATAGTCTGCCTTTATTCCTCCAATACCCCAGGAGGTAGCTAGGGTCCCCACATTTATGGGTAAATCAGTTCCAGTCTCTGTCCTGTCCTGTGGTCTATCTTTTTCTGTCCTACTTAAATCCTCTGCTACCTCTTGCATCCACTTTGGGTCTGCAGGACCTCTCTCCTTTTTCTGGGTAACTATTCTCCCGAAACGATTTTTTTTAGCCTCGAAAGTAGTTTTGTACATTATTTTATACTATTTGGGATCCGCCCTTCAATTGTTACGTCCATACCGCCTACACCTCCGATGCCCCGCAGATATTTTAGTTTGTAATGTAAATTTTCCTCTTAACAGCGAATAATTCCATATACAACGCCTCTCAATTTCAGCTTTATCGCACCACACATACACACCCCTCTAATTCGAAACGACTTTTCAAGTTCAAGACTTGTTTGCTATTTTAACTTCTTGCGAGGGCGATGCAAGGGGGCGAGTAACGCCAGCCGTGCCGCCCCGCCGCCCTTAGCGGCAAAGTGCTGGATTGTAAACGACGTGATAGACGTCACCGACGTCATAGACGCCGACGTCTGTATCGCAGTCGGGCGTTCAAACGGATTTCGGTGTATAGACGAGACGGAGGTGTTGCCAGATTACTCGAGATAATTTTCTAATCAACCGATTGTGGGAAAATTGTTTAAGAGCCTATACAGTGCGAAGAGAATAAATTAATCTTTTTGTAGGGCGGATGTTAGTTATTAAACATAGTTAGTTTTTAGTATTTTAATAATAAAAAAGTCGAGTAGACAATTTGGAATTTATATACCATAAATGTCATAACTGGAAAAAATTATAAATGAAAAATCAAATATAAAGTAGTTTTAGATAATTTTGATAATTATATTGAATAAAACCATAATTTATTCTATTCCCAAATTAGTTGTTATTGAAAAATATCGGATTTGATTCACATTATAAATATATTGAAAGAAAATAGACGTATTATTTTAAAAGGGAATATTTAGAATTAAGTAAGATACCTAAATCGGTGATTAAAGATGAAGAAAATAAATATTAATTCGGTGTATACAGATTTTCAAAAATGATTTCACAAAGTTAATCATGATGTATTTATTACTGTTAAAATTAAGGGGATACAGGCTTTCTGATAATTTGATTACATTGGAAAAAAATTAGAAGGAGAACATATATAATATAAGACACAACGGGAACACATCTAGCAAATTTAAAGCAAACTCTGGAGTTCCCCAGGGTTCCTATACAGAACCACTATTATTTTTACCATTTATTAAATATTCGGAGTGCTTTTTGTTTACCGATGACTTAAAGATACTTAAATGGGTACAAAATGTAAGAGCTTGTACAGGGTGGCGCGCGGCGGACGCATGGATTTGAAGAGGGGATTAGTACGGTCTTAATTTTGCTAGACGGTTGAGAGTCGGCAGGCACGAAAGAGGAGGAAGAGAAATTTATGTACCGCTCGGTGTCAGTCGCCGTTATGGAGTGGTCTGTTGAACAACGCGTCTTTTGTGTCGAAACTTATTTGTCGAACGCCCGTTCTAACATCCGCGTGCAGCGTGCTTTCCGTTTAAGGTTTAATATAGCCCCCCGAGGCCGTATTCCCGATCGCAATCGAATTCTTGCGTGGGTTAAAGCATTCCAGGATACAGGAAATGTGTCCACGGTAAGAAGGGGGCCTCCGATTACCGTCACTACCCCAGAAAACATCCGGAGGGTACGAGATGCACTTCAACGATCTCCCAGGCGTTCAGTTTGGAAACAGGCAGGTGCCCTCGGCATTTCGAGACGTTCTATTCAAAGAATTGTTAAACAACATCATTATCACCCCTACAAGATGGTTGTCGTCCAAGAATTAAAGCCTCGTGATTTTGAAGCCAGAGCACGCGCTAGTGAAAATATGCTTGCTGCATTGCCTCGAGATGTAATCGTTTTCTTCTCTGACGAGGCCCATTTTCACCTCATTGGATGTGTTAATAAACAAAATATATGGTATTACAGTGACACAAATCCCAAGGAGCTACACCAGAGGCCCTTACACTCCGACAGGGTGACAGTATGGTGTGCAATTTCAAGAACTGGGATCATCGGCCCTTTCTTTTTTGAAGAAAATAATCGAACGGTTTCCGTCACTTCTGCACGTTACCTGGCTATGCTCCAGGAATTTTTTTTGCATCAGTTGGAAGCGATGGAGCTGGAAGACGTCTGGTTTCAGCAGGACGGAGCCACAGCCCACACAGCAAGGATTTGCATGGACTTATTGCGAGACAGATTTCCCGGGCGCCTCATCTCTCTAAGAGGCGATTTGATCTGGCCAGCGCGCTCTCCTGATTTGGCACCTTGTGATTTTTTCCTGTGGGGATACCTGAAATCCAAGGTTTATAACGATCGTCCTAGGACCCTGGAAGCCCTCAAAATCAACATTCGAGCTCAAATCGCCGAAATTCCTGTGGAAATGCTTGAAAGAGTACACGAATCCTTTAGAAAAAGAATTGGTCAATGTTTGGAGTGTGAGGGGCGCCATTTGGGCGATACTTTGTTTAAAACCTAAACTTCCCATGTTAATAAAAAAGGAAATAATAATAAAAATTAGAGATTTTTTAACAGTCTGCGTTTTATTTCATTTCAAAATCCATGCGTCTGCCACGCGCCACCCTGTATTAAATTGAATATAGATTTAGATAAGTATATAAATGAAGTATTTTTCAAAATAAAAAATGGTTTCTAAAAATGGCTTCCTTTATTTTTCCGTTATGTCTTAAACAATACAATTTTAAACGTCGCAATGAGATAAAAGATTTTGGAGTCACATATAACAACTCATTATTAAACAAATTATAGTAGTAAAATCAATATTATCATATAATTTATTTGTAACAGTAATTTGTAATGTGATAAGTTAAGTAAAATATGCAAAACTTTGATTTATAGTTCTATAGTGTGTCCCAGATTCGCTTCTCTATACAGGGATATCGGCTCCTATTATACCTACAGCATATGTTACATGGGAAAAGTTTTAAAGAAAAATTAGTGCATTTGATAACCGGCTTCAGTAATAAAATCGGTCAGTTGGTTATGGAAATATCGGCGAAAAACCGAAAATGACGGATTTCCATTTTCGCCTGTAAATCCAAAACGAATAATTTGACAGCTGTCAAAATGTGATAATATTGGGACGCGTTTTTAAGACGAATAAGATAGCATGCATTACATCCCAATCGTCTTTTGTTATCCAGTAATCCGCCTTAACTTTCATTTTTCTTATGGTTGTCATATTAGAATTTTCGATTTTTAGAAAGACCGAAAAATTTCCAGTCTTGTGATGTCTCACAAGTGTCTAAAAGATTTGAGTATCATCGAAATATCACACTTTCTAACGAGGCCATGATTTATTTGTCAGAAAATAAATCAGATATTTTGGGACAAATTCCCAAGCGTGTGTAAAAAAAATCAGGTCAGAAAACTCGTTGTTAACTTAATTAACACTTAAACCTTAGAACAACCTACAAGTAGATACAAATTGAAAATGAAAATCGCGATAGAATCATTTTATAAATTGTAATGTATTGTAATGTTCTTAACTGCTTTGTAACTGGATTAATTTACAGATTTGCAAAATGACGTCCATTTCCATCCAAACATTTTTCACAATTAGTGACTGTTTTTCGTTGTTTCTAAATGTGTCCAAAACTCTTTGTCTTAAGATTTCTATGGTCGCGAGAGGACCAAATTCATAGACCTTATTCTTTGTGTGACCCCAGAGGTAGAAATCTAAAGGCGAAAGGTCAGGAGATCTAGGAGCCCAAGATATTGGACCATTTAAAGAAATGACTCTTTTGTCAAAGTGCTC